TTGGGGGAGGGAAAAAAGGGGTTTTTTTTTTGGGGGGGTGGGGGGGTACAGCCCCGGTTTGTGACGGCTGCAGGTCACAGGCTTGGGGACAAGCTCCCCAGGCTGGTGACAGTGGATGGTGGTGGCCTTTCATGGTGGCACGGGGTGCCCATCCCCATCCCTGGTGACACCAGGTGCCTGTCCCCATCCCTGGGTGTCTGTCTGTCCTCATCCTGAGTGCCCGTCCCCATCCCTACATCCTTGTCCCCATCCCTGAGTGCCAGTCCCCATCCCTGGGGACACTGGGTGCCAGTCCCCATCCCTACATGCTTGTCCCCATTCCTGGGTGCCCGTCCCCATCCCTACGTGCTTGTCCCCATCCCTGGGTGCCCGTCCCTACATGCTTGTCCCCATCCCTGGGTGCCCGTCCCCATCCCTACATGCTTGTCCCCATCCCTGGGTGCCCGTCCCCATCCCTACGTGCTTGTCCCCATCCCTGGGTGCCCGTCCCCATCCCTGGGTGCCCATCCCCAACCCTACGTACTTGTCCCCATCCCTGGGTGCCTGTCCCTGTCCCTACATGCTTGTCCCCGTCCCTGGGTGCCCATCCCCATCCCTGGGTGCTTGTCCCCATCCCTGGGTGCGTGTCCCCGTCCCTACGTGCTTGTCCCCATCCCTGGGTGCCCGTCCCCGTGGCATTATCGAAGGGATTTTTCTCTCTCCGAACAGCCTCCTCCAGCGCCGGCAGCTGCAGCCTCAGGAGCTGCCCAAGCGTAAACTTCCCAATAAAAACTTTCCAATAAAAACTTCCTGATAAAATTTTTCAGATAAAAACTTGCGGATAAAGCTCAAGGCTGCCAAGGCAGAACCGGTTGCACCCGGCGGCCAGGACGGGGCGAAGGAGATAAAGGCCCAGGGAAAGAATTCCAAGAGAGCGAGGTCGCTTCAGAAGGCGGCCAGCTCAGCGACCAACAAAACCAGTAGGAAATCAAGAGACCACCGACTGGAATTAAGGGCTTGGACTGGGGGAGCGGGTGCTGGGCGGAATGGGATAACTGGGGGGGGAAAAATCTGGGGCAGGGGTCCCTCTCTGGAGACCCCCCAGCTCCAGCTGGCACCTGGGGACTGATCATGGAGGGACTGGAAACCTCACCTCGGAGCCAGCGCTCTCCAGCAGGATCCCAGTTAGGGCGGCCAGTGTGGGGAAATCAGTAACAATGGCTGGGTGCCTGTCCCCATCCCTGGGTGCCCGTCCCCATCCCTGGGTGCCCGTCCTATTTCTGGGGAGGCTGGGTTCCTGTCCCTATCCCTGGGAGCCCATCCCCACCATGGGGACGTTGGGTGCCTGTCCCCATCCCTAGGTGCCCATCCCCACCACGGGGATGCTGGGTGCCTGTCCCCATCCCTAGGTGCCCATCCCCACCACGGGGATGCTGGGTGCCTGTCCCCATCCCTAGGTGCCCATCCCCACCACGGGGATGCTGGGTGCCTGTCCCCATCCCTAGGTGCCCATCCCCACCACGGGGATGCTGGGTGCCTGTCCCCATCCCTAGGTGCCCATCCCCACCACGGGGATGCTGGGTGCCTGTCCCCATCCCTAGGTGCCCATCCCCACCACGGGGATGCTGGGTGCCTGTCCCCATCCCTAGGTGCCCATCCCCACCACGGGGATGCTGGGTGCCTGTCCCCATCCCTAGGTGCCCATCCCCACCACGGGGATGCTGGGTGCCTGTCCCCATCCCTAGGTGCCCATCCCCACCACGGGGATGCTGGGTGCCTGTCCCCATCCCTAGGTGCCCATCCCCACCACGGGGATGCTGGGTGCCTGTCCCCATCCCTAGGTGCCCATCCCCACCACGGGGATGCTGGGTGCCTGTCCCCATCCCTAGGTGCCCATCCCCACCACGGGGATGCTGGGTGCCTGTCCCCATCCCTAGGTGCCCATCCCCACCACGGGGATGCTGGGTGCCTGTCCCCATCCCTAGGTGCCCATCCCCACCACGGGGATGCTGGGTGCCTGTCCCCATCCCTAGGTGCCCATCCCCACCACGGGGATGCTGGGTGCCTGTCCCCATCCCTAGGTGCCCATCCCCACCACGGGGATGCTGGGTGCCTGTCCCCATCCCTAGGTGCCCATCCCCACCACGGGGATGCTGGGTGCCTGTCCCCACCATGGGGCTGCTGGGTGCCCGTCTCCACCATGGGGATGCTGGGTGCCCGTCCCCATCCCTGGGTGCCCGTCCTATTTCTGGGGAGGCTGGGTTCCTGTCCCCATCCCTGTGTGCCCATCGCAATCGTGGGATGCTGAGTGCCTGTCCCCATCCTTGGGTGCCCATCCCCATCCCTGAGTGCCTGTCCCCATCCTGGGGTGCCCATCCCCACCACGGGGATGCTGGGTGCCTGTCTCCACCATGGGGCTGCTGGGTGCCCGTCGTGCCTGTCCCCACCCCTGGGTGCCCATCCCCAACAGGGGGATGCTGGGTGCCCGTCCCCAACCCTGGGTGCCTGTCTCCACCATGGGGATGCTGGGTGCCCATCCCAATCGTGGGGACCTTGGGTTCCTGTCCCCATCCCTGGGTGCCCATCCCAATCGTGGGACGCTGGGTGCCTCTCCCCATCCCTGGGTGCCTGTCCCAATCGTGGGGACGTTGGGTTCCTGTCCCTGTGTGCCCATCCCAAACACGGGACATTGGGTGTCCATCCCCACCCCTGAGTGCCTGTCCCCATCCTTGGGTGCCCATCCCCACCATGGGGATGCTGGGTGCCTGTCTCCACCATGGGGATGCTGGGTGCCCAACCCAATCCCTGGGTGCCCATCCCCACCATGGGGACGCTGGATGCCCGTGCCTGTCCCCATCCCTGGGTGCCTGTTCCCATCCCAGGGACGCTGGGTGACCATCCCTGTCCCTGGGTGCCCATCCCCATGGCGGGGCCCCCCCATCTCACCTCCCTCTTCTTCTTGGCCTTGACATCCTCCCCGCTGGCGGGCAGCCCTCCTTTCCTCTTGGCGCTCTCCGCCTTCTCCCGTGGTTTGTTCCCGTCGCCCTCCTTCATCTTCTTATACTTCCTCATAAACTCCGAGATCAACTCCGGGCAATCCAGGTTCTTCTCCGGCTCCCAAGTGTTGTGTTCCCTGTCACCAAATGACCGTCATCATCATTGGCATTGTCACTGTCCCCCGTCCCTGGCGGTACTTACTCGGAGAAGCCCTTCCACTTGAGCAGGTACTCGGCCTGGCCCTTCACCACGCGCCGGTCCAGCACCTTCTCCACCACATACTCCTCCTCGTCTCCCGAGGACGAGCTGTCGGCTGGCCGCTTGCTCCTCTTGCCCATAGCGCAGCGCCCACAGGTCCTGGGGGGGACGACAGGGGTTGTTATCGGGGACCCCCCCACCACACATCACCCCCCAAATCCGTAAGAGGAGGAAATGACGGCGAAGGAGGAGGTGCCCCTCGACGCAATTCGGGGTAAACCCTCTAAAAACGGCAGGGATCTAGGCACAGGGAACTGTAACTGGGGTTAAAACCCCCCAAAACAGCGGGAATTTAGGCACCTCCTGACGCAATTTGGGTGAAAACCCCTAAAAACAGTGGGGATTTAGGGACAGGGAGGAGTAATTTGGCTCTCAAACCCCCTAAAAACAGTGGGGATTTAGGCACCTCCCAATGCAATTTGGGTTAAAACCCCCCAAATGGTGAGGATTTAGGCACAGGGAAACACAATTTGGGTTAAAATCCCTAAAAAAGGATGGGGATTTAGGCACCTCCCAATGCATTTTGGGGTAAAACCCTACAAATGTCGGGGATTTAGGCACAGGGAAATGTAACTGGGGTTAAAACCCCCCAAACCAGCGGGAATTTAGGCACCTCCTGATGCAATTTGGGTGAAACCCCCTAAAAACAATGGGGATTTAGGCACCTCCCAATGCAATTTGGGGTAAAACCCCTAAAAACATTGGGATTTTGAGCACAGGGAAATATAATTTGGGACAAACCCCCTAAAACTGGTGGGGATTTAGGCACAGGGAATTGCTTTGGTGGAAAAGCCCATTTTTCTAACAATTTATAACATGGGTGATAAAAATCTCACCCCTTTTTTAAGGGGGTTAAAAGCAAATTAAAAAGGGAGGGGGGAAAGAAGGGGAAAGCCTGCACACATACCCCCGACCGCTTTGGGGTGAGTTTGCTGCTTAACAGCAAAGCCCCCACAAGTTAAACCCCCAGGGGTTTAAAAAAAAAACAAAACAAAAAAAACCCGTTTTTAAGGCATGTAGCCAAAATGGGGGGGGGTTTAAAGTCTTGGGTTTTAAAGGACCCCACGCAAAATGGGGGGGGGGGTTTAAAGTCTTGGGTTTTTTTTTTTTTTCAATTCAGCCCTAAAAAAACCCCTGATGGAGTCAGGAAATTCCTCGTCCTCCCCATTCCCCGGGTGGCATTTCCTGACGGCCAAGGCCCAAACCGCTGTGATTTACCGGCGGTGGTTTTGGGTGTAAAAAGGGAGGTTTGGGGTGTAAAAAGGATGGATTGGGGAGTAAAAGGAGCAGTTTTGGGGGTAAGAAGGGTGGGGTTTGGGGTAAAA